GTGGGGGGGGGGGGGGTGAGAGAAAAATCGGATGAGAAAGGGGGAAAACAAGGAAATGGCGCTAAATGTCAGTAACGACGAATATAAGGGAACAACTGTAATCGGGAGATTTTGGGTCATTCCAGAAGGCTTGGGAAACGTTTCATGAATAGAGGGGGCCGGCCGCATAAAATATCGAGCCGCGGATTCAAAGTTAAACGTTAAAAACATCCCCTAGCTGCGCTACAAAGGTTATCACTCTTTGGTGAGAAATTTGAAAAGGTCACAATATTTTAGATGTCTTTTGAATAGAACTATATACTCAACAAATTTTAAATTCGCGATAGAGGGGCCGCTTCACAACTCTTTTTTGCCCGTCATTTGGCTTCAGCTCATACTAACTTGCTTGTAATTGTATTTGAACTCATGTTGATAGTAATCATGGACAGGGGCGGCGATCCTTGGCCCGATAGGGGGACACGTCCCGCAGGAAATTTAGAAATATAGCTAGAAAGAAATATAGCGGAAAGAACGTTCATATTGGGCTTAGGGATTTTCTAGAATGCATAATTTCAGCAATCAACACTGCAAAATCTCGCTTGGTCGCTTTGCCCTCTCGCCCAATAACACAAAACTATGATATGACACTCGACCCGCGCTCCCGGCCGTGATTCATCCATGGTTGGTGTAATAGATCCTTAAAAAAAAAAAAAAAATTCTACTAACATAATTGTGTGCTACCACAATCATGATTGTTTAATTTTCGCTTTAAAGCAGGCGCATAGCCAGGGGCGGTGGGGGCAGTAACAGGACTTAGGAAGAAAATGGAGCAGACAAAATTTTTTGCAAATTCTGACAAGTCGAGAACGCTACAATGAATTGTCTTCTTTCTCTAATAATTCAATGAAACGTCAAAGCTTTCGCGCTTTGCGCGGGAGGGGCAAAACTCAATCCAAACAAGGATTAAGAGTCGAGAATGGTACAACAAATCGTCTTCTTTCTCTAATAATTAATGACAGGTGAAAGCTTCCGCGCTTTGCGCGGGCGGGGAAAAACTGAATACAGACAAGGATTAAGAGTCGAGAATGGTATAAATCGTCTTCTTTCTCTAATAATTTCATGAAACGTCGAAGCTTCCGCGCTTCGCGCGGGAGGGAAACTGAATTCAAACAACGATTAAGAGTCGAGAATGGAACAACAAATCATCTTCTTTCTCTAATAATTTCATTAAACTATGAAAGATCAAAGCTTCCGCGCTTTGCGGGGGGGGGGGGGGGGGGGGGGGACTGAATTCAGACAAGGAATAAGTGTCGAAAATAGTACAACGTATCGACTTCTTTCTCTAATAATCAATGAAAGATCATAGCTTCAGCGCTTCGCGCGGTAAGGGGGGGGGGGAACGGAATTCAGACAAGGAATAAGAGTCGAAAATGGTACACCGAATCCTCTTCTTTCTCGAATCATTTAACGAAACATCAAAGCTTCCGCGCTTCGCGCGTAATTTTATTAATTTTTTTTTTTTTTTTTTTTATTATTTTATTTTTTTATTCTTTTGTGGGGGGGGGGGGGGGGAACAGCGAGCTGCCCGAATATGAATTTTGGATATCTTTTCCATTTTGGTGATAAATAACACTTTCACAAAAAGCTTTTAATATGAACTTGTCATTATTGGTGTGTTTAGTTAAAAAAACGGTCTGCGCAATTTTCAAATTTCCGGCACCCCCCCCCCCTATTGGATAATCTTGGATCCGCGGCTGCAAAGTAGTAGGTCATCATGGAAGTTCTAAAAAACAACAGGGGAGGGATCAAAATAAGCTTTGAAGGGCACTATACGTAAAGAAGAGAACCCATTCAGACGGGAAAATTAGATGGCAGCCTTTCTGCTTATTCCCATTTATACAAATCATTTTGTTGCAGTTTGATGTTAGTTCTTCATGATAAGCCAATTGCTCTTCTTCCGGTGGCTCCGTGGGCCCCTTAAAGTCAGTGAAAAGAAACTAGCACTCGAATGAGACGGGGTGTTTTACGCACTAACATATATATAGTAAAGCTACATACACTTAACTGAAGGAAAGAAACCTATAGAAAACGGACTGGATATTATTGAAAATACTATTCTAAACAAGAATGTACTTCATGTACTACATTACGTTACAATTTCACGAGAGAAATAGAATTCGAGAGGGGGAGAAGAGAAGAAGTGATGAAAATTAAAGAAGACTAACAGCATGAGAGGAAAGAAAAGAGTTAAGAAGACAAGACAAGAGTTTAAAAGAGAAAAGGAGGAGCAAGAGAAAGAAAGAGAGATAGCCTTGAGCTTTGGATCAGCTAATATACATGAAACAGATTTTGAGCGGAGTAATTATCTTTCGCCTGAGAACTTGCATAAGGAGCTATAACTTGATTTTTTTTTAAATCAAACATTATGGGGAATAGCAAAAAACGGCTGAGCATTTATTGCACTAATTGCCAGAGGAGCATTCATCTCTTCCACGAGGCCGCACTTTTGGATCAGAGAGCATTTTTATTGTCGGCGGAGCATTGTCTTTTAATACGGGGTACTTTTGGGGAGGAGCAACAATTGTCGTAGTAGCCGTTGTATTTTACAGGGCACTTTTTGAGCGGAGCAAATGTCGGCGGAGCAATTGTCGGCGGAGCAAATGTCACCAGAGCAAGTGTCGCTTCAGGGGGAGCAATTGTAGGCGGAGCAACTGTCGTTCGAGGAGCATTTGTCACCGGAGCAATTTTCGCCTTTTGCGGAGCAATTGTCGGCGGAGCAAATGTCGGCGGAGCAATTGTCGGCGGAGCAATTGTCGGCGGAGCAAATGTCGGCGAAGCAAATGTCGGCGGAGCAATTGTCGGCGGAGCAAATGTCGCGGAGCAAATGTCGCGGAGTAATTGTCGCGTTTTGAGGAATAAATGTCGGCGGAGGAATCGTCGACGGAGCATGTGTCGGGTTACCGCTTTGCCATGCCAATTATCATTCAATTTTCCCGTTTTGGTATTTAATTTAGGATTTTGGTCGAAGGGTTTCATAGGTCTGTCATTTAATTTAGAAACTGCTCATCTAGCATTCAAATTAATCGTTACTTGTCGAGGCCTCATTTTTATCATTCAAATTAACACCTGTCATTCGCATTCGAATTATGTTTATTCAAGTTTGGAATTGTAGGGGAAAGAAATGCAACAGACGTTTACAGTTTTTTAAATGCAATTAAATGCATGATTTGCCATTAGGGTCTTTTCTGTTATTCCATTTATTAATTTTGAGGACAATGCATATGAGTGTAGCCAGACATTAGGTAAAGAAGGGGCGAAATCAAGGGATATGGCATTTCTGCACGGACATGTTCATAAACCCCGAAAATGTGGGGATACAAAGATACCTACCCCAGTCACAATATTGTACACTTCCTCCATAATGAAATTGTGATAAATTTATATGAGGAAACACAAGACATACAACTTCCTTACATGAAAATTTACAAAAATATTGAGACCATCACATTCGTAGATGTAAGTCTTTTTTTTCTTCTTAACAATCAAACTTAAAGGATGATGAATATCAGATAAATCTAAAAGTATATAAAGTGTATAAATGCAAGAAAAGAAAATATGATGAAATACACATGTACAAAAATCTTGAAAGAAAAAGAATGAGCCACAAAAAGTGTGTAATAAACGAGAAATGTATATTGACCATCAATTTAAAGCTAAACTTTAGTACTGGTAATGCGATTGCATTGTGAAAGAAAAGGTGTGAAAGGATCAGAAACAGTTGATCATGTAGCATGTAAGTATTGGTGTGCACTGCAAGGTTCTGGAGTCATCAAAATCATAATAAATTTGACCGAGTCTTGGTAAAGTAACAAACACTCACATAGAAAGCTATATATGGGACAACACACATCGTGTCGGGGATGGTACTACCTTGGTTTCCTTGTCTTTATATGCTCATTACTCAGCCAGTATACATTTTCTTCCAAAATTGTTTGGCACATGTCATTTATTTGTAATCTTGAACATTCAGTGTAAGTTTCGTTTGATTCTGTGAGAATTAATTTTTTTTTTTTTACCAGTACTGGAGTTTATCTTTAAGTGCACAAAGTGCTAATTTGAAAGCTACAAATGAATTCGAATGCTAAAAGTACACCTTGGCGATGTCAGAAATCGTGTTGAGCCAAATCGAATGACCAAATCGCGAAAGAAGCACATTATTCATTAATTTGAATGAATCATACATATATTCTAACGAACACTTCATAGATTTGAAAACAAGAAAAAGGAATATAAACCCAAGATATATCTGACGGCACTAAAACCGTCGAATTTGAACGCAAGACAAATTCATTAAAATGACAAACTTGCGAATTTGGCCGGAAAAACCTATATAAATTAGGATACCAACATATTTAGCAAGTGTCTTAAAAAAATTATAATGTATGCACAGTCCCATCCAGAGACTCATTAATTGTAACACCAAGGAATCTAACCTGTTTTCAAATTGGATATAACGAGATTATCAATATCAACAGTTGATAAATCATTGGGCACTTTCCTGTTCTTTGACCTACATATGACGTAATTTGTTGTAGTAACATTCAAAGATAATTTATTTACTTTATATCATAAAGAAACTTTAGAAACTTCCCTGTTCACTGATGAAACAAGCATTCGTATAATTCTGTTACTCATAAGAGCACATTTTATCGTTAAAAGCTAAGAAATAAAAGAGTGCCCAGTACAGTTCCTTGGGGGACACCACAACAACTCCGCTGTATGGAAGATTTGATACAATGTTAAATACAGAAAGAAACAAAAATATCAAATACAAGGACAGAAAACAAAAACAACATGACACAGAATCGCACTAATAAGTACACTGGTGTTAGAAAAGCTATATAAGGAAAGAGAAATCTTGGTTAATTCGATTTCGTTATCACAAAATACAACTTACAAGCATATATAACTCATCACTAATAGCAGTATTAAAGGTATTGATTGTATACTAAATCTTTCAGAGTCTTCTATGGCAACTTTGACAACGACATCCCAAAGCTATTCAACATCGGAGACGACGACCCCGCCGTACTACACGACGAGCAGGCCGCCCTACACGACGAGCACGCCGTCCTACCCGACGAGCACGCCGTACTACACGACAAGCACGCCGTCCTACCCGACGAGCACGCCGTACTACACGACGAGCAGGCCGCCCTACACGACGAGCACGCCGTCCTACACAGCGAGCACGCCGTCCTACACGGAGAGCAGGCCGTCCTACCCGACGAGCACGCCGTACTACACGACGAGCACGCCGTACTACACGTTGACCACGTCGTCCTACACAGCGAGCACGCCGTCCTACACGGAGAGCAGGCCGTCCTACGCGACGAGCAGGCCGTCCTACACGACGAGCACGCCGTCCTACCCGACGAGCACGCCGTACTACAGGACGACCACGCCGTACTACACGTCGACCACGCCGTCCTACACAGCGAGCACGCCGTCCTACGCGACGAGCACGCCGTCCTACGCGACGAGCAGGCCGTCCTACGCGACGAGCAGGCCGTACTTCACGTCGACCACGTCGTCCTACACAGCGAGCACGCCGTCCTACACGGAGAGCACGGCGTCCTACACGACGACCCAGCCGTCCGCGGCTCCTCCCACTACCATGACTTCGTCACCAAGAACACGTGTAGAATCAACCATAGCACCTGAAGCTCCTCCCACTTCCATGACTTCGTCACCAAGAACACGTGTAGAATCAACAATAGCACCTGAAGCCCTTCCCTCTCAAAATACAGGTACAGGAATTTGGTCCTTCTTATGCTGAAAATTTACAGATTAGATTTAAACAAAATAAATATCTATCCAGACTTTAGTAGATTAACTGAATTACAAAATATTTACATACTACTGAGTTTTCTGTTTTTTGCGATTTTAGGTTGAAGTATTGCAATATTTAAACAATATTGAATGGATATTTTGCACCCAAAACACTTGAACCTCTCTTTTACCACTGCCGATCTATATCTTTATTTTGGTGATCAGTCATTCCAGTTGCCACTCCAGCACCATTTCTACCATATTTATAATCTTCCAACATAATTTAAGATGTGTATACAGGGGCGATTTCATACATGCCAATTGATAAAGCGCAAGGACGTTTACATCCCATAGGAGCGTTACATCTTCATTGTTGGCTACCGAATTGTTATTATATACTACCATTATTATTATTATTATTATTATTATTATTATTATTATTATTATTATTATTATTATTATTATTATCACTAATAATATTGATATCGTTATTACTATCATTTTTACTATTATTATAAGTATTGTTGTTATTATCATGAATTTTATTAATATCATTATAATTATCGCTATTGTTATTATTACCATTAACGTTATTATTAATATTTTTATCATTATTATTACCATCATCATGAGTATTACTCTCAGCATAATTATTATTATTTTTATTATCAATATCATCATCAGTATTTATCATTATCATAAGTATTATTATTATTACCATTATCATTATCATCGTTATTATTATTATTATCATTAGTAGTATTATAAGTATTATTATTATTATTACCATTATTGTAATGTACATGAATAGTTATTTTCTCTTTTCTTTTCTCTCTGCAGGGTCGGTGGTTGGCCTCGGGATAGTGGTATTCTTTTTTGCTCTCTTCGGAATAATCGTTACATTCTTTTACATACGACTCAGGTAAATAGATCTTGCCATTTCATAGATTGCTGAATGCAATAATAGTAATATACCATTGGCTACTTAGAGCTTATCTGTACTAGTTTACGGGAAGGATTGGACCACCCTGCAAAGTAGCTGGACAGGTGGTTATCTCATCAACTCAGCTCTCAGGTAACAGAAGAAAAAGAGGATCATGAGGGACCAATGGTCACCGATTAGGCATTGTTTTTATATAGAGGGCGCAAGTAGCTACAAGTAGTGCAGTGGGCCTTTAATATAGTACATATCGCAAACATGTCCCTATTCTCAGTCATGGGAGAGGGAAAAAAAGAAAAAAGAATAGAGTGAGATGTGCTCAGCATATTTACTAAGAGATCAGTTAATATTGAAGATTGTTACTTTGAAGAAAAAAAAAATCGTTTCAAGATGTGTTTTTAAGTTGTTTTAGTTGTCAAAATATATATTCAGGCATCTTGTTCCATAGCTCTGCTCATGCAACCTGAAAAGAGCGTAACCCGTAGAATTTTGTATTCTTTTGAGAGTTTCGGAGAAGACCTGACGTTCTGTTCGGTACGTATTAGGTAAGCAGTTGGGTCAAATACGTAGTAGCCAATTCTTTCAGACACTCAAAGGTTAACCCAAAACAGGATTTTGAACTCGATTATAGCAGGAACAGGGGAGTGTTTCACAAGGACTGAGATCGTCTTTAAGTTGGAATTAACTATGACAGGCCTTTCATGGCGGTGTTTTCTCTCACCATCTAATACTGGCATTGGTCTTTCTCAGGAACATACAAATCATGGTCTCAAATCTACAGAATTTACATTTTTTGGTAATTCACTATTGCATACAAAATATTATCTAAAGATCATATGGTGATTGCAACCAGTGGCACGAATGGCCTGCCATAGTTAAGTCCAACTTAAAGTCTATCTTAGTCTTTGTGAAACACTCTCCATGTAACCAATGCAGTCTCTCTATTAAAAGTAGGTGTGCGAAGGTTTAAAAAAAAACACGCTATTTTCATTATTGCAATGATGAAGCTTTGATTGGACAATTTTTACAAATGTATTGCTCGGAAACATTCAAAGTAATGACTATTAACAATTACAAAACGCCTGAATACAGCCCCGGCACAGAAGAGCTCTGCGAAGACTGCTGACATATTTGACATCACAGGTCGGGCATTTTCTAATGTCCATATACGCATCAGGAAAATTAAAGTGACTTGGTAACATTGTTGAAGGTTGATGAACAAATTGCTTAATTGTTTGTATAAAATGTTACTTACTATAATTCCTTGTACTGTACTAACCCTCTGATATGCAAAAAATCCTGAAAAAATTCTCAAACCACGAAACTTTCTATGGTTTTCTTTGAAGGTGTCGATGTACGGCACCCTCTAACAGTGATTAACAGTAAATTTTCCCAACCATTTTTGAATTTTCACAACCGTTTTTCCATGAAAAAAAGACATAAAACAGGCTATACAAAATCTGTCAACACTGAAAAGTCTGGAATGGAATGTAGAGCCATTTTATTGCTTTGTGAGATTTCTATTCACCTAAAAATGTAATTAATGTATAGTTGGGAGAATTTAGGAATCGATCAGATCAGTTTTTTCCAAATTGTACCATAAATAATGGTCCGTTTCCACTCAAATTTTTCAGATTATCTTTAATTGTGCATCTAGCATCGAAGTCACTACCTTAGCACCACTATCACTCATCTGAACAATGTCACCAAGTCCCTTTAAATTGCTGTTCACAGTTTTACGCGTCCGACAAACTTAAAATACAAAAAAAAAACTGTTTTCGGTACTACATTGTGTTCGCAATGCATGTTCATGTAAATAATCTCCTGTTAAACAATACTTATATGTTTCATGTGTAGGAAGGAATTTGCCAAGTACAGGAAGAACTACCCGGCTCCCAAGAGCATCCCTCCCAAGAACATTCCTCTTCAAGATGCCAACTTACCCGAGCAGAATAGATATCACACCGTTGAAACCAAGAGCTCAGCCAAACCGGAGCACAGCTTGACGTATGAGAATCATAAGATTGTCGACCAACAGCAACACTTCAATACCAAGGGCCCAAAGCGGGTCATAGATGATGGTGATGAATACGCATATGCGATGGAACTCTATCCGTAGCAGGATTGCCTCCCTTTGTCATAACAAACGCGATCTCAAATATTAAAGGGATAGTTGAGTTCTGTTCTCAGACCGAAAATGCCTTCAAAGTGCATGGTTATTGCTCTTATCCTTATCTATGACATTTCTAGTGCCCTTTTAGAACCTAAAATTGCTATGAAGGTAATTTTAGATCCCACAATGTGTGAAATTTAGCCAATACGATCATATTGATTCCGCTTCACTTTCAACAAAATACGGTGACCGTTAATTAATTATTTAATTAAAAATAACAATACATGGACCGGCTGGTTGTGCGTAATATAACTAACACGAAAATGCCAATAAAAAAGCCATCATCAGCATTGGCTAAATTACGACGTAAAAGGCGCTATTTCGTTTTTTCAACGGCTTTTTCAAATTATCTAAAATTTGTTGTGTTACACAAGTATTAGAAATCGTTATATTTATGGATATTTCAGCCGTCTCTGAACCGATTTTGCGTAAACAAAGATGATTTTGTCATTTAAATTGTATTTTCTTTCAAATTTAACACTTAGTTTTTCATTATCTCACAAAAAAATATTTTGATTAGCGCCCTCTACAACAGAACTCAACTATCCCTTTTAGATCAGTTTAATGACTATTCCATTACACTATTGTATGCCCAATAGCAGTCATATTCGGATTACGTCAATGTTTGTTCGTAATACGTTATTGTTTGTTCGCATAAGGATATGGAAATTGCATACGGTTGATTTGTTTTAAAGTAGTAGTTGCTATCGCGTTAAGAGTTGATTATAGTCAGAGGCGGCGGAGCGACTTCCAAAGTGGGGGGGGGGGGCACCAACAAAAATGTGCACTTTCAGGAAAAAAGGGCACATGTAAAGGGAACTCCTCAAAGCGAAAATATACAGTTTTTTTAGATATTGGTATATACCCCTATATTGTGATTACATTATCATTGTTTCTCTTTTTACGTCATATAAGATATTGCTTAAGTATCATACTTTGCAGTTGGGTATGATGGCCTGAAAATTCATTTGCGACCGAGCAAAGCGAGCGAGGAAAATTGTTAAGATTTGTGAGGTCGCAGTGCGAAAAATTACATTATAATAGGAAAAGCCCAATCCTGATGGGTTATAAGCACATTTTCATAACGGAAGACTAAAAAGCCAATTTGATAAGTTACTAACTTATAACATCTAGGATATAACTACAAACGAGCGTAGCGAGCGAGCTTTTTTGGGGAAAATTGCTCTTAGTTGCTTGAAATAAGAGGCACGTTTAATGAGAGGAAAAGGGGTCACTTCTCGAAAGGGTTAAGACACTTATTAGAAAATAAAAGGAGCATGTGTCAAAGTACAAATTAGGCTAATTATCAGAGGTGAAAATTGGGCACTTCCTACTCCTAGAAAGGAGAGGCACTCACCAGCGATGGAAAGGGATTTTATAAGAAAGGGAAATGGGCATTAATTGTCGACGGAAAAGAGGCACCCATCAGATTTGATAGGGGCATTTAAAGGAAGTGAAAAGGGGCATTTACGAAAAAAGGGTTCCTTATTAGAAAGGAAAAAGGGGCACATATCATGTTAAAAAGGGTAATTATCAGAGATGAAAAGGGGCACTTATGAAAATGAAAAAGGGGCACTAATGATAAAGGGAAATTCGCATTTGTTAAAAGAAAATGGGCACCGATTAGATTTTAATAAGGGCATTTGTCGGAGGTGAAAGGGGGCTTTTATGAGAAGGGGAAAGTGGCCTTTATTGAAAAGAAAAAGAGGCACATGTTAAATAAACGGTGCACTAATAAAAGATGAAAAGGGGTAAGGGGAAGGGGGCACTTATAAGAAGGAAAAAGAACATTTATTTGGAAGGACAAGGGGAAGTGTCAAAATAAAGGGGCATTTATATAAAATGAAAATAGCACTTATCAGGAGGGGAAGGGGCACTTGTCAAAGTAAAACGGTTATCTCTGAATTGAATAGGGTAATTTACAAGAGATGAGAAGGGGGACCCATGAGAATAAAAAGGAAGTAGTCATCATAAATGAAAAAGGGCATTTGTGAGAAGGGAAAGGGGCTCTTTTTTAAATGGGGGCACTTATCAAAAGGAAAAGGGGCACTTATTAAAAAGGAAAGGGGGCGCATGTGAAAATATAAGGTGCGTTTATCAGAGTTAAAAAGGGGTAGTTATTAAAAGGGGAAGGAGCACTTTTTACAAAGCAAAAGGGGAACTTTTCATAGCAAAAGGGGAACCTCTCAGATTTGAATAGGGCAATTATCAGAGGTGAAGGGGGCGCTTATCAAAAGTGAAAAGGGGCTCTTCTTGTACCTGAAGAGGGAAACTTACTAGAGATTAAAAAAGGCACTTATGAGAATGGAAAATGAACACTTATTGCAAAGGAAAATGGGGTACGTGTCAAAATAAAAGGGGCACTTATCGGAGGTGGAAAGGGGAAGGGGCACTTTTAAAAAATTAATAGGGGCACTTGTTAAAGTAAAAGGGGCACTTTTAGGGTACTTGAAAAAGTGGGGGAGGGGCACTGTGCCTCCCTGCCCCCCGGCAGCACCGCCTCTGATTATAGTTTTATTATTGATACTGGGAGGTGGTGAGCACCCTATTTTTTAATCTATCATTTATTAATTTTTGTAAACACGATATTGCATTATCTTGACAGACCGCAAATCGGTGGATTTTTGGTTCGGTTTGGAGTCGACTTGTCGACTTGACGTTGTAACCGTGGTATTACGTTTTGGCATACTGAAGCTGAGACCGATTAGTCGATCTCTTCCAAATAGTGTTGAAAACTGTAAGCGAACAATGTATGTCTTTGAAGTTATAGTAGTCTGACTTCAAAACATCATAATGCTTCTTTCATGCCTTTAGATTATACTTCTTTTAGAACTCCCATTCGTCAGTCAGACACGACTTCGGAAAACCGAGTCCAGGCAAATACTCGGAAAACAGCGAATGACGCACAATAAGATGATGCCTCCCTCCCATCGTTCAGTGCGTGTGAGTATGTAAAACAGGCATGAGTAAAATGATCCTAAGTCAACCTACTGTTGATATATAGCGCTTAAAGACTTCGGTGGTAAGCGAATAAGTAACGTTTTTATTTTATTTATTATTATTTTATATATTTGCCACAAAAAATAAAGCTGTGAATATAGTTAGTTCATATGATTGGCAACTTGATGGTATCTTTACATGGTAAATCATTTATTGATTTGGTAGTTAATCGACCAACTACATTTTTTTAAAAACAAATATTAATCGTCAGAAAGTTTACTTTGCAAGATTTTCCCCGTGCCTTTTGTACCAACTGCCTCGTTGTTCGCTCTTTTCCAAGTATTTGTTGGCACTTAGGTGTACCGAACTTGTGTCTGACTGTTCTTTTGCAGATTTATTTGCATATTGTGGAAATAACATTGTCATAATTATCTGGTGAGGGTTTATACCTCAGTCACACCGATCAGACCAGACCGCCAGACCGACATCATACCGAACAAGAGATAACATTACGATAAATGGCTAAGAATTGATCGGTTTGGAGCGGTTTGGGGTTCGGTTTGGATTCGTTTTGGCGGTATGACTGAGATATGTAGCCGGTGTCCCAGTCCCCCAATGCCAAGGCCGAAAAAAGAATCAGCACAAACTTCGAATGTTAAACACGTTAAATGCAAGTTTCAATTGAATTTATTGATAGACATCGAAACACACAAGATAGTTCTCCTTTGTTTCTATCTACATTGGGGTAGCATGGGTGTAGCCTTGAGGGAGGGGGGGGGGGGAGGGCGGCGACAATATTTTGTTACGGTATTACTGAATTAAATTGAATTAAATTGATTTAATTCAAACCATTGAAACCATTTAAAGAGAAAATATATAAATGCACAATGAGAATGTCTATGTAACATAAATATAAACATGACATGAATTAAAATACGTGTTCTACAGCGATATAAATGACAAAAAACAAATAGTTTTATAAAATTTTGTGTCAAGAGTAAAACAATAAATGACTATTTACAATGAGTTTGTGATCGTTGGTAAAAAAAAAAAAAGAGTCAGAAAAAGCACATGTGCTAGTCGAGTCTGACCCTCGTTATCAAAAGCCTAAAGTAAAGTAAAAGAAGAATACACTATGAATATGACGGACAAAGAAAGCGGACAAAATATACAGTTCCCCAGGTACACAAAGAAACATCCCTTCACTGCTATTATGTAAAAATGTGTAGAACAGGTGAAAATGTATGTGACACCTGTTCTACACATTTTTACATAATAGCAGTGAAGGGATGTTCCTTTGTCTACCTGAGGAACTGTATTATGTTGTCTGCTTTCTTTGTCAGCCATGTTCATAGTGATACATGATGGGTTTCCAAATCCTATAAATAAGATTTGTATATAATATTACACTCCAAACAACCAGACTGGTTTCTTTATACAACTATGTAATTACAAAGGTATAATTCGTGGTTTTCAGCTGAGAGTGATTTTTGTGAGCTTTTTATGAAAGGAGGTTCTTGATCTCACCATTCGTAGATTAGTAGGAAGCATATTCCAAAAATTACTTCCAACAAACGAAACCGAAAACTTTACTTGGTCTGTTTTAAATAAGGGAGACGTAATTAATTGTCTACCCGATTTTTGTCTAGTGAAATATTAATGTTGTATACTATTGCAATAATGTTTTCAGGAATTAGGTACTATGGAATCGATCATTTATCAAACGTAATCGTTCATTTATCAAATCAAACACATAAGTACAAATAGATAATTCATGTATTGGAAAACATTCAGCAATTAGAGGTCATGAAAAAGTAATATGGATACGATGGGGCTTGAAAGTTAAAGCACGTACAGCCATATTTTAAGTATAAAATATATAATTCAAGTGTAATTTATAAGTACTACCCCAAACCCCTATGCCATATATAACATTTGGCTGTATTAAAGCTTTATACAACAGTATCAATATATATTCAGGGACAAAGTGCCGTAAATTAAAGAGGATACCGACCTTTCTCCGCATATACAGTCATTAACATATTTGACATGTGAATTTCATGTTAAATGTCTGTCAATGGTAATGCCAACAAATGTCGCTTCCTCCACTTCTCTTAATTCTGCCCCAGATATTTTCAATCTCCCTCTAAGCACGGCCTTTCTTCTTCGACTACTAAAGAACATGATATTGTTTTTGTTGACGCATTGATAGTAAGCTTTCTTGTATCGATTTAAATTTGCATTTACTTCACACTCATCTATAACCAGTAAATAACAGAGCCGACAATAAGGCGAAAGGTGCAGGAGAAAAAAAACAATCATCTTTACCCCCCCCCCCCCCTCATTTCCCCCTCTATATATTTCCTATTCTCTCTCTTCTCGATTTCTCCCTCTTTTTTGTCTCCAATCAGAACGTTCCCAATGCGACGGCGCTGGTCATTTCATATTTAGACATAAAACTTATCCCCTTTTTTTTTACATTTCCTTTCCTATCTTTTCTAAAACTGTTTTCCTATTTTCCCACTTTTGTTTCTCCAATTAGAGGGGCACGTGTCTCCTGTCCCCATATCTTCGCTGCTGGTTATTACATATTTAGACTTACGTCATTATTAGATTAAAATGGAGTACTGAAAAGTTGTTTGTTTAATCATATAGAAGCACGATATGAAATTGCATACAACAGAAAAGTATATATCATCTTGCGTACATTTTGATTTAAGATTAGAAAAGGCAAATTGCATAGCCTATTTACAAAAATGAAATATACATAGCTAAGCAATTATTTACTGCTTTTCTTTCACTTTTTTCATAAACACAGTATCTCAAATTTTGAATAGCTTCTAAGAGATTTAAAAGGGAAAAGTATATTTAAAAAATGGTAGATATAATTGAAAAATGAAGCTAATTTATAAAATGATAAACGACACTTCGTTTCTTTTCACCACTTTCAGGTTAACACTCTGGAATATGCGATCTCTTAAAAGTACAACTAAACCATCTAAGATATATTTAAGACAAGCACAATGATATATACACAATATAATTAACGGATACCCCCATTAATATCCTGCTTATAAGCAGGCCAAATTCGTATGGAAACATTAAAGAACTTTTGGAATTACACGGTACAAATCGAATTTCACTAGTGATAATAGAAATACTAACAATAATAATAAATGATAATCATAATTCTAATTCTAATAATAAAGATAAGAAGAAGAAGAAGAATAGAAGAAATAATAATAACCAGGGTATGGTCATCATTATGTTCTCTCATCAACAACAATAAAAGCAATGATGGTGATGATGATGCTGAAAATAATAATGAAAATAATGATAATAATAAAAGTAATAATAATTTTAAATATCATCTCCTATTTACTCAGGGACTGTTCTCCCTTAGGAGCTGGCACTTGTATGTATGTAGTATGTTCGGCTACGGATAGCATATTAAATGGTAGTAGAATTTATGAAGCAAGACATTTTTAAAACCAAAAAGCGGACCTTTTTTTTTTTTTTTTTTGGTCTCGAAATTTCAAAATTTGACATTTTTGTTCGTTGGGGGGGGGGGGGGGGGGGTAAGGTCACTTTACGTTAGCCGTGGGCATAATTTTTTTTTTTTTTAATTAAAAAAAACAAAAAAACAAAAAAACAAAAAAATACCAAAGGGGGGGGGGGGTTTGAACCCCCAACCCCCCTCCCTGCGTACGCCCCTGCATACAGCTACCCAACCCTTGGTAACAGGAGGAACAGTAGTCTCTGTGTCTCATTCGCCAAATAAATGGTTGACTCTTCGCCAAAGCTCCACCACGTGTTGCCCCCGCGTAAAACACACGAGTACAACGCTAGGAACACTGACGAATTTGTGAACCTGTCATATGGGACTGAAAGACACAGAGATAGTCATATTTCCTTACTCGCCTGTTGTGAACTAAACTTAAATCTGAACGTCAAACGGGATATTGGATAGTAGGTCGATACATCTGGCAATTGTTTTTTTTAATTTCCTTCTTTTTATAAATCTTAACTATTTCAATAACTATTTATTTACCCGTCCTTTATACATTGAAGCAATGTTACCCCAGAAACAGCATCAGATAAAAAGACAGCTCCGAAAAATTACTCGTTTTCATTCCGTATGCTATGTATACGTTCTTCTTGCGGTTCCAAAATCAATATGTCATACATTTTCATATGATGTCTTCTATTCATATTATATTCCTTGTACTCTCCCTCCTTTTCCAAAATACCAAATTCAATCAATCAATCGACCAATCAAATACATGTAATTATGTTAAATAGGAAAGTTTCCTTGTATTTACTATACAGTGCGTCCCAGAAAAAACGAAACCGAGAAGTATCGATGTTTAATCATAACTTAATCACAACCATAATTAATGAATGATACATATTTGGAAAGCTTAGAGTCTCCTCATTTAGTTGATGCTACTCACGTGATGCATATTTCACGCATTAGTCATTAAAAGCAATTTTGAACGAAGGACACCAAAAAGTAATTTGGCGGGCGGTATCTTAATTTCAAAGAAAAATTCACATTTCTAGAAAGTTCATTTTCTGCTCTTTCATATGATACCTCAATCAAGAAAAATGAGCCAGGAATAGCAAAGTTCTGTTTGTTTAAAGTAGCCTTTACATTTTCATAATTTTAACAAATGAATTCGTTTTCACTGGGTGCCTGCCGTAGAAAAAAGCTGATTTGCCAGTGAAAACGAATTCGTTTAATAGAATTATGGAAATGCAAGCACTACTTTAAACAAACAGAACTTTGTCATTCCTTGCTAATTTTTCCTGATTGAGGTGTCATATGAAAGGGCAGAAACTCAACTTTCTAGAAATGTGAATTTTTCTTTGAAATTCAGATACCGCCCGCCAAATGTATTTTTGGTTTCCTTTCTTCAAATTGCTTTTAATCACTCATGCGTGAAATATGCATTATCTGAGTAGCATCACATGAAAGGGGAGACTCTAAGCTTTCCGATTATGTATCATTCATTAATTATAGTTGTGATTAAGTTATGAAAGAACATCGATACTTCTCGGTTTCGTTTTTTCTGGGACGCACTGTATAGACCGATAGGGGTTTCATGTTTCGTCTCCCAGCTTTGGGAGACACCCAATCGCATAATTATCACGAGATGGTTTAATGTCCTATGTAATCTGACAGGTGCACGGCCGTCCCTGAACTAAAGCGGGAATGCTGTACCAATTATTTAGTATTCTCGATGGCCCCCAGTAATGGCGGCCGACATGTCCATGTTGAGCTCTCTGAATACACCAGTTTACAGTTGTGTGCGCCATTTTAATTGACGAGTATACAAAGCCAATGACCTCTAGAGGTCAGTGGTTTGTGCGTAATTAAAATTGCGCCCATGCAAATTATGATAACATCACTGCCTGCGCGCTGCGCTGTGCACTCACATCATAACTTGCATGGGCGCAATCTTAATTTACGCACAAACCAAATGACCTCTAGGTCATTGGCTTTGTTTATTCGCCAAAGAAAATGGCGCCCATGTCTGCGCATGCGCTCTGATACCACTGTAAACTGGTGTATACACCAGTTTACGGTTACATCAGTGCGCATGCGCAGACATGGGCGCCATTTTAATTGGCTTTGAAAACAAAGCCAATGACCTAGAGGTCATGTATTTATGCGTAAATTGCGCCCATGCAAATGATGATGTGCGCGCACAACGCAGCGCATAGGCAGTGATGTCATCATACTTTGCATGGGCGCAATCTTAATTTACGCATAAATACATGATCTCTAGGTCATTGGCTTTGTTTACTCGCCAATTAAAATGGCGCCCCTAACCGTAAACTGGTGTATTAGTTGTATACGCAGAGGGTCCCTCAAATCAGTTGTCCACCCCGAGTATCTCTAATCGCAGTCCACCACCTTGATTCCATTGCGTGGGATGCACTCGGATGTAACGTGCTCTTACTGGTTTAGGAAAAAGTATCGTCAATAAAGAAGACCCATCGAAGTTCCCTGGATATGTCTGCAAAAAAGTCAAAACGAGGATACATTCCTTTAAATAACAACTAAAGATGAACTCCAACGAGTCCGGGTGGCTAGCAGGTATTTCATAGCTACTGTTAAAACATATTTTCGAAATGTTTTGAAAGAAGAGAATAGAACTAAACATGTTCATGTCAAAAATCGCCGTAGAACAGGGAATATCGGGTGCCGGAATATCATTTTTTTCTTTAGAAAAACTATTTTTCAGGAGGATATTTCGTATGCGTTTGATTCCATTACAAATACAGTCAGACACGAAGTCAGAAAACAGAATACAGGCAAATACTCGGAAAATAGGGGAAAACGCACATTAAATATAGTGCCCTCATCGTTTATTACGAAGCACGTTGTACAAAAGCCATGAGGAAAATATGTCAACGACAACCTGTGGTTGAAAACAATTTTGAATAAATCTATGGATACACATATTTCATACGTCTGCCATTTGGAAGGTTCCTAACATGACTAACCCTTCATGGGATTTGAAGATAGTTGAACCACAGCAATATTTTACAAAAATCTATATCGTCAATATGTTGAATTGACTGCAAAAGATTTCCCCCATGCACGCTGCCTCGCATCAAACTTGTGAGGGTGCTATTTTTACTGAACGTAATTAGCTGTTTTCCAAGTACATGTAATTTGCCTGTATTCGGTTTTCGGAGTTTGTGTCTGACTGGTATAACTCGCGCTGTAGCCATAAATGCCACCATACTCGGGTATCAATTTACTCCTCCGTTTCGGAGCTATATAGGTTTTTAGAACAAGTGCAAACTTTGATTTTCTACACTCAGATTGAAGAAAAAGAATAGAGAGACGCACACCTTTCTCCTTCTTCTGCTGCTTCTTCTCATATTGCTCCGATTGTCTCATTTTCGCTCGCGTGAACATTGCCAGCACAAACCACTGACCTCTACCTCCTGAACGGATCATCGCCCATTCCCATTCACTATACGTTACGTACTAAAAGGCTGTATTGTCTGACCGTTCATGAATATTCATGTTTTTGCTAAACTCGGCAAAATGTTTGCTTTTACTAAATGGAAAAATTACGGTGGGGGGTTGGATGAAATGGACATAATGAAATAGGCAGAAGTGATCTATGATAATTCATGCTTTTTATGTTTCGTGTGCTCGACCTATAATCTTCGAATCGCTTGGTAAACCGAGTCCAAAGTTAGACTCGTTTCACATGTGTATTGTAGGCAATGACGAGCTTGTAAACTATTTTGAAAAATTACGGTGGGTGAACTTTCAAAAGGCAATGAGACATTAGGGCTCCAATGAAAGAGCTAGTGATAACGTACGTCGGGGTGGATGTGCTTTTCGTTTAAACAACAAATGAATTTTTAATGATTTAAAAAAAAAAAACGTCCATAGGCTAACATGTTAGGCTGCTGACTCTGATCATGCTCTGACGATAGGGGGCGTTGTGAAATGAGACTAACCGGAGCCATATGTTTCACGGGGTGTTTTTGCAAAAAAACAAAAATGGAAAGTAGTTGATTTGGACATGGAATATTCTTATTTTATCTTCTTCTTCAGCTATGCGATGCAAATAATTTATTTTTAAAATTCAATGCATATTAACTCATTTCTATGAGCATAGATGGATTCACATATCAGACAAAAACTAATAGCGACCGCCCCACCCTGTATTGCTATAACAAAAAAAATAGCCTGCTAATGTCTGAAAATCTGGATTCACCAAATCAATCATTTAAAAACATCATTACGGTGATTATGAATACTCACTTTGCGCGATCCGCATTCTCTTTCCAATGCAAAGGTCCATACATTGTTGTCTAATGAATAGGAAATCAGGAAAGCTGTATACCGTCGGGGGCCATTAGGGCTGCCTTGAGTTATGACACCGGTAACATTGCAATCCTTTCCTAAGTCGACCTGGGATATGATTCAAACAGAGTAGGTTTTAGAAAAATTGAACTAATCCCATAAACTATTTTGGAAAAGATCGACAATCTCACTATTTTATGCAAATGTTAAAGAAGTGCCACTGTATACATGTACATTATGTATATTTATATATATATATATATATATATATATATGTATATATATTTATATATTATATTGCATGGAAGTACAACGTACAATCGATCAGACAGTTTTCAGTCAAGTTCTTAAACTGTTGTCAAATGTCTCTCCAGTGAAAGGGTAAGGTCAGTTTTTTGTTCACCCTTTAACACAACAAAGTTTTTTAAATAATTTTTTTAATGTTCATATTTGTCAAAAAGTAAGGGGGGGGGGTTATCCTCCGATACCCACACATTAACAAAATCTGAGGGGGGGGTTACCCCCCCCCCCCCCCGTCTGCGTACGCGCCTGATTACCCGTGAGCCTTATGTCGATCGACGGGGATTTCAAACATGATAACATTTACAACTGGTAAAAGCCCCAGTTACCATGGTTACACAAGCCTTTTTCAAAGATGAGACTGCAAACTGAAAAACTATGGAGTCAGTCAAAGCCCTTGACTTTGGCCAGGCGCTAACAACAAGATCTGACAAACATCCAATTTTGGAAGAATTGCCAATACCATTTGATGTGATCATTCAAACGTTTACATTCTTAATGATCGGGGCTCTCAATAGTCACATGATTAATACACATTCTAACTTTCAATCAATTTCAAGCTTTCTTCGAAGAAGAAAAGCTAAATCGGCTCAAACTCGCATTGACGTCAGATCAAAGGTGCGATTGTTTACGATTTCATGCCGGCCCGGGTTTCTACTCTGGATAAAACGCTAACATTCACTTTAATTCCGGTTGTAGGTATCCTTATCAGTGTATGGAACATAAATATGGAAGATATTCACATTGTATAGATTTCCATATCTAATATAATCAGAATTTCTTCGCAAAGTTTATGACAGGAGGATCGTAAAGTGTGGAATGGGCTTAGAAAGTGTTATGTTATTCAGTTGTATTGTCTGGTACGGGAGGTGTAGGAAGAAAGACCTTTTCAAACTCCAGAGAATCACCAAACAAGCAGGGAAGATCACCAGTGAAATTCAGAATTTGAATGTCGCATGCGAGTCCAACATTATTCTAGAACTAAAACAAATTATGAAAACGAAAATCATCCCGTCTTTCCATACTATGTTTTTATGCGTTCTGGTAAACGACTTCGTTCAATGAACTGTCGTACTCAACGTTTTCTAAATTCCTTTGTTCCTTTCTCGATCCGCAAATACAATCAAAATGCTACCTGAATTATGTGTTCTTCTTTATTTCTGTAATGTTATTTTCGTTACGTTTCCGGGCTATCTCATTCACTCGAACATAAAAAAATAATTTATTTATTTTCTTTTATAATAACGTAGGAAAACTTTCTATCAAGCAATATTCTAAAGAATTGTCTATGTCAAACTATACGATTTATTATGTATGTAAACTTTAATATTTTGATTCTTTGTACGTTTGTAAAATGTGAGCAAAGCAAATTTCCAATATTGGACAATAAATTGAAAATAAAATACTGTAGTACATTAATTTTGTTATCACTAAGCGGTACATCACCTTCATCCATCTATTTTGATCACTTTGAGCTTGATCACTTATGGACGCAACCCACACGCCACCGGATACACCATCCATGCCGATGGCATTCAGCCTCCCGCCATATGGATCTGATGAATAGGTGAGACTACTGTTTGGTATCCTTCCATCTTCGACCCCAAGCCCCTTTCCGAGGACAGGAGGGGTGCAGCCCAGCTGAACACCGTGGTTCATAGATGCTGTCAATACCAAAGAGATGATTACATAATTATGACAAATAATAAATTATCATAATTACCACTAATGCTATAATTACTGATGCTACTACTTTTTTTTTTTATCCCCCCCAAAAAATTGCAACGACTCAGCCAGCCGCTAAATAAGCGGGGGAGGGGGGGGGGGGGGTGGCCTCCTGGTACCGCGCCTGGTCCTTTCATTCATTTCGACAGGTGTAGTTTCGGGGATCACGCGATTGGTGGAGAAATCGTGCTCTGTGTTGACGCGTACTCGCGGGGTGGTGTGTGTGTGTGTGTGGGGGGGGGGGGGGGGGGTGATTAAAGAACAAATATGTAAAAACGGACAGAATCCGGACTACTTCTTTCCAGGAACCATTCGAACCTGGAAATTACTTCTACCATCCCCGGCATCAGTGCCTTAAAAGGACGTCGCACGAAGCAGGCCACTATGTCGTTGTGCACATCTAAAAGTCCCTAGTATCCCACTTCCGAGGACCAGGAACAAAACAGTTTCAGATTCAGATTCAATGGCACATTGTAAATCACTTGAAACATCAACACTTTTTTAAACTTACCTATGATTTCATTGAGAGGTCCGTACCCGTAGAGCTCCAGCCGAAGAGCGATCCCATAGTAGCTGTATGGTGTGATCCGAACTGAGCTTGCCAACATTGGTACCACGAAGGCATTGGTCACTGCGGGTTCTAGGTCATAACTTCCTGGGAACATCTATTGATATTTTATTCATCTCAGGTATCAAGTGTCTACATAATCCATTATTTGATTTGATTTAATAATAATAATAATTACAGTAATGATAATGACAATTACAATAAAGAATAAAATTGATGATGATAATGATAGTAATAACAATAGAAACAAAAAGAAGAAGAATTTCGATTTTCCAAGGAAAGCTCCATAAAACACCAACGCTGTTCCTCCTTAGGACCCCGCATTTACTTTGATTTAATCCGGTATCATCATAGGCCTAATCACGATTTTGAGACATATTCATTCCATAATTAACGTGCAACAAGAAAGTAATATAGTCGTTGTCACACGAAAATAAGATAATTGAGGAAAAAAACGAATCATTGTTAACCAAAATGATTAAATTGAAACGGAGGGACATGATGTAACAAAACACATGCGACTGCGTCTCCTATATTTCTCCGCCCTAAATTCATTGTAGGAAATATAAGGAATTATTCTTGACATATTACGATGAAAAATAAAAAAATAAAACTGTAATACAATGTCAATCGACAATCGGAGAACTCACATCACCCCCATTCTCAAAACTCTTCAATGGCTCCCGGTATGTGACCGAATCATTTTTAAGTTGTTGTTGCTAGTTTTCCATTCCTTGGATGACTTTGCTCCTTCCTACGATATCAAGTTGATTGTTAAGTATAAGCCCACAAGACATCTTCGTTCATCTCAATCCTCCTTATTAGTTGTCCCTAAGACGCGCAGTTTTTGGGAAGATTTTTCTCATTCTGGTCTGTCCCTTTGGATTAAGCTGCCACTTAATATTCGTAACTTAACTGCCCTCCATGGCTTCAAAGTTGCTCTAAAAGCCCATCTCTTTCTAAACAGTGCTATTTAATTATTTAAATGTACCGGTAGCGTAACAATTTGTGTTGTCTTAGTTTATTTTATTTTAGTTAAGAAAGTGATATGTTTGTGATTGTAATATGTACAGCGCCATGAGCGTCAGAGCCTGGCGGATACCGGCGCTATATAAATATTCATATTATTATATGATCTTGACCTATTAGCCCAAAAATGTATTTGGATCATTTTCCTATATTAATACAGTCACCATGTTTAGATTTTGCGATACCAAGGCTAAAAAAAAGTAATTTCAGAAATTTACCTATGTGACCTTTGACCTATTTACCTTAAATCTAATGTTTGAGGCTAATACCACGAATGGTGTTTAAGATATCGCGATAACAAGGATACAACCTGTATGACCTTTGAACCTTCGAACTAAAAATGAGCATTCAAGGAATTGCTTCCGAACGGGTAACCATTTACTGCACCTGGGTTGAGAGCGGCAAATGTAGATAGAAATCTTGCCAGAGGATATAAGTGCCGCAGAGGGACTCGAACCGCAAACCAAGGGATTCACAGTCCAGCGACGTACCAACTAGACCATGAGACCAAAACTGTTTTGCGATTGTTTGTATCCCCTCTCTGTACTACATATTCATGTATGTGTTGTTGGAATGTATAATAAATGCAAATTAAATAAGAAAACAAAGGACTTTTTATAACCGATTCAAGTTCATTTCATTCAAGTCTGATCAATGTAATTGAGGAGCTGATGTGAAACATGCATTAATTCAAACGGGTTGGTTGTTCTATACTTATTTTTCAACAAGAGATTGTTTACAAGAAGACAATCGAAGATGTAGCCTACCTGGATTTTTTGGGAATACACGTCGACATAGTCATACCGATCCCCACTGCTTGTGCCAAATGAGATAGTGTATGACGTAGTCCAAAAATACGGCGGTTGGCTTCCTTGAATGGCGATGCCCGTTACTACACAGCTTGATTCAAACTGGACGTCGACCCACCTCGGGTTTGCCGCATTCGGGACCCAAGCAGACGGGCCGTTAAGACGGGCATGCTGAGTGCAATAAGATGTCGAATTAATACAACCAGAAGAGGTAATAGCAGAGTCAGGAATAGTGCCTCTTTCAAGTCCAAGTGGATCACCGAGTGGATTACACATGAGTTCTGAACGTAAAATATAAAGGACAAAAACATCGAGTTTTAGCCTCGAAGGATGGGTATTATTACAGATATCGTTACCTCTTTTTTGTTTTAAAGTTTTTTTTCTTCTTTATTCAGATTCTCATGTACAAAATGATAAAGAGGTACATAATTGTTCTTACAGTATAAACATAGTACATTTTCACATACATTATAAACACAGACATATTTGCAATAATAATTTTCATAAGTTTCCAAACTAATGTTGTACATATTCAATAAAGTATACAAATTGTAATACAATACATCACTGCTGTAATGTATTTTTCAATTGCGCCATCTTTCGGTGAAGGCGTATACAGGGCTACATAATTATGGAGCGATTTCTTCTTCCTGTACCCAAGCATCATCACGCGCCCGTCACGCAGTTGGTGAAGCATTGTGGGACATGGCTGTCGACACATGGGGATATTTTGAGCAGCAGATGGCAGTATACGTAAATCTGAAGCACTGTCGGTAAAATATATCATTATTGTCCCGGTCATCGGATTCATGCTTGTACTCCCACAATGTATGCACATTATTCACTCCCTGGGGATCATTCCAGCAAGGCAGCATGTTGAAGACGCTTTAACAATGTTCAGCAAATGACTTTCGTATCTTATCCTACCTGATACAAATTTAACAACCAGGCCGAGTATACGGCATCTGCAAGCATCTTCAGTATTCAAGGAGGCAGATTATTTTGAAGAAGAAGAAGAAGAAGAAGTGAGAAGCGATGTAGATTTTTAAATTCTTGCTTTAGGACTTCAGGACCGCCATGCCGGGGATCGAACCCATGGCCTATGCATTTCCAATCAGATTTTTAAACCACTTGACCACTATGAGGCTTACTCACCCGGACAGCAGACGACTGCTATGTTCTCCTCATTCACAGTCTCCATCGTTTCATTGTGCCAGCAGTCGGTAATATTTGTGGTATTAGGTGGACATATCACTGCTGCAGCTTCGACATTGGCGTCTATGGACGAGGCATTGTATTGCACTCCGCTTACAGTGGCAAACGCGCCTTATGAAACCAAGTATAAAATAGAAATTCATGAATATACATCGCTGAATTTTCATATATGGTTAAACTTTTCATCCAAAATAATGCGATAGATATCATTATGGCCACGTATCCGCAATAACTTGTCATTACTTAGCACAGCAATTTAGTTCAAGGCATTAAGCCAAGAGATACCTTCAATACAAAATTATTAAACGATATTCTGCGGGTTATCATCAAGTTTTAAAAACCTACAACATACACAAGAGAGGGAGAAAAGAGCCGTTATGTTAAGTCTAAACATGCCACTCAGAAAATACTGTGCCAGATTGTATTTATCATGTGATAGGTCAGACTGTTCGTAGTGCAACATTAATCTGTACCAGTGTTAAAATAGTTTTTATTGAGCTACTGACGACTTGAAAATTCATAATTTTGCAAAGCCATACTAACGTTCCACAAAGCAATCATTATGGCAAAGGGTGCATTCGTGTGGCAAATGGGAGATCGTGCATTGAGGTTAACAAAGAAATCGAAGTTGTCTCTGAATGTAGAGCAATCCAGCCGTATCTCGAAATTAATGGTTTATGTTTTTTAGTGGTTATGTCTATGGTTATTCATCCAAACAAGCAAATTGTACAATTCGCCATTTGATGTGAATTTTTTCTAACAGGCATACCTTCAAACCCGAGATATCGACAGATCAGGTCAGATGAGTTTTTGTTCCAGTGCTCTTGGTGAATCGGCATGAACTTGGTAGGATTGGTGCGAGTTGTGAAAACGATTCGTCCTTCATTTTGGTTTCCTCCAACGAGTTTTAAGGTGTGGATGAATGCATCTGGAAAGGCAATTACATTTTTTTAAAATCAATCTAAGACAATCTTAATAGCCTTGTCCCATCACTTACTCAGCTGAGGTTACTGAAATGCATTAAAGGTAATACAAAGTTTTGGTATGGGGTCATGAATTTTGGTTCAAATAAACATATTGGAAGCATATGCGATCCTACAATATTCAGTGATCGTTGTCGCGGTTGAAATCGAGTATAAAGTTATGAAATTGTAAATAATAAACTCTTTATCTTGTATAGGTCCCTCTCAAGTTCTAATTAAGCTATAAAACAATGTAGTCTTGACTAAAATCGACCAATTAGCTATTCCCGTTGGGAAATTCTATATCACAAATGCATATTCTGAGTCAGACTTTCATCGTCGCAGCTACCATTGTACGGCTCTAAGTGCTATTTGAAATGTACCAAAATTTACCGGGAGCACCGGTACATTTTTATATTTAATTTTTCTCGAAAGCAAAAGTGTTTTAGGGGCTAAATTTTCTAGAGCTTATAATAAATCCACAAGGGCATCCAAATATATCAAAATTGTAAAGAATCACCATCAACCCAATTTTCAAAATTTACCAAAACTTGGTATTACCTTTATTACTACAATGGCGTATTCCACTAATGACGTCTGTGAGATATACGAAAAATGTTTGGAAAAATGTCCTTGCTTTGATTTATCTAAAGTCTTTGTGATCATGTTAGAAAAACAAAAGTTACAGAGTTACAGAGAAATAGGTTCTTGAATGTCACAAAACGAAAAATCCTTTCTCCAAAAGTTGAAAACGAGGCGTCATTTATGACTGACGTAGGACTGAGTCAGCGACTGATGTGATCTTTGACGGACCCCGTCAAAAAAGGAAGGAACTTGCTAACTGTAAGATCAATATTTAGACTTCAGACCTTAGAAATAATTAGAATAGAATCACCACCCAAAGAGCGTCAAGGGATATAACATTTTTGTAGAAAGGAACCGTTTTCCTTTGCATATTTTTTATTTCCCCTTGCTGTTCTTTTATTTTATCCCAATTTTTCCTTGTGAAACAACGGGGGCGGCATTCCCAGAAGCCCCCCGCCCCGAATATTACACTTACCATACTCGCACCTGTCACCACGGTAGCCATCTAAGCAGGAGGTGCAGTTAAATCCTGTATCGGTCTCCTCACAAGTTCCTCCGTGAAGACAAGGACCAGAGAGACAAGCTCAATTTGAAATGAATACGAGAAGGGAACAAAAGTTAATCGGCTAGGAAGGGCCCCTGTTTCATATTTTTTTTAAATAAAAAAACAAGTGTGACATCTCTATAACGAATTATACAACAGCAAATCAGCTGCATTGATTTCAGTAGCGTATAACAGTCACCAGGGGCGGCGATTTCTTTTCATGACCGGGGGGATACGAAATACGAGGCACCGGGGAGCAGTTGCGTAAAATGGGGGGGGGGGGGGGGGGGAGAAAAAGGACTCCTTTGTTTTCATAGATCGTTGATGGATGAGGGTGTTTTTGCTGCATTAAAGTTAATACACAGTTTGGGGAATATTTCAACAGGATCGGATCATGAAATTAAAATTTGCATTACCATTGTGAAACCTAGTGTTAGAACACTCAACTCTAAACAAAAAATATGCTCTAAACCGCTTTGGATTTGGAAAAAATAAAATAGAAATAGAAATTTGAATTTACCGGTGCTCCCGGTTAATTTGGTTTCGCTCCCTCTCAGTTCGAAAATGTTGTCCATATTTACTTGAATCTCTCTCTCTCTAACAATTTGTGTATAAGGGATTTTACAGATAGCACATGGTACAAATGACCCCAAATATCCACAGATCTTTTACACATGGAGAAGTTCCACTTTGAGCATATTAGAATAATAATTGCCGAAGTCCTAGATGTGCTTCATGAATACCTTTTGTTTGCCCTCTTGAAAAGAATACTTCCACCTGCGTATCATAGAATGTACCGTTGGTGCATAAATGAATAATGTTACATAACTTTCATGAGCGCATAACCAGTATTAATCTCTCTGGGTTTTACCTTTTTGGTACAAATGACCTTTATCTGCCCATGCGCAGATTTTATCTGTAAACTCCCTTATTGGATAAAATATAGCTCATGAACCCATTCAGGAATGCTCTTTCCTATCGTTCTCTAATAAAATCTAGATTGTGATTATGTTACACCTTACTATAGCGAGCGAGCATGCAGCATGGTCGAGTGGATACGTCAATATTCAATATACTTGGTCATAGCTGTTACTAATTGTGGAAATCTGGAAGGGATATAGTCAAATACTTCAAATCCCCTTCCTCACGTTGATTCGCCTGTGTCTGCCATTTGAGGATCTGGCCATTTGAGGAAACATTTATCTACATTTGCCACACTCTATCCTTGTGAAGGAAATATGAACCTGTCGTAGGATAAATTCCTCAGAATGCTCGAGCACGGTCATGGCAGTGGTGATAAAGTAACGTGTCAGACATGAACGCTATACAAGACCCCACTGTTATTATTATTATAAATATTATAATAATTATATATATATATATATATATATATATATATATATATATATAGGTTCTTGTTCATTCTCGCCCTGTCTCTCTCTCTTGTCAATCTTTCCCCACACTGTAAAAAAGAATTTGCTCATTGGTAATTTTTACGTATTTTTTCCATGTAGAATTTACTTGAAAACATTAGTTTTGCCACTTACGCACTAAATTCAAGTCTTGCTAACTCAAACTTTCAATTTAGTAGAACATACGTGGAATATTTAAGTAAAATCAAATACATAAGAACTTTAAGTAATTTCAGCTTGTATTAATTTAGTAATTTTAACTCAAAATCAGAAATGATACGTATTACTCAAACAATTTATGTTGATTATTCTTATCTTTTTAAAGTAAGGACCGATGCAGTGCGTAATAGAAATATTTACATAATTTATGAATATTCATTAAGACCAAATTAAACTCTTTTTTAAATAAAACAATTCTTTTTTGTGGTTGAATGAAAATTTAAGGACTTTAAAACATTTACTAATTCTTTTAAAATGGCTAAGCAAAGACAAGACAATTTTTAATTGTTACCCAGTTCAAAACAAATAAAAACTTGATATTTCAGGAAATTGTCAACCAATTTATCTTTTAAGATGCTACGATCAAGTATATATAAAATTTGGAGCCTTTCAATATGTGTCGAATTGAAGCGTATGTAATAGTTTGTGATGGTGGTATATATATATATATATATATATACGGTTAAATTAAATCTTAAATAGAAGTAGTGTTTAATAGTGATTAGTGATTAATCTTGAATAGAAGTAGTGAATGATTAGTGGATGTTACTTGTTAGATTAGATGGGTACCAAATCGTGCAATATGTAATCCTATCATAGCTTTTTTTTTAATTATCTAAAATGATTACAATACTTAAATTATTTACGTTAATGTAACTCGATTTAACTGAGTAAAAATTTATTCAGCAAAATAAGTAAATTCTACTTAAGATGCCGTAGGTAATATCTACTTAATAAAAATAAGGCAATCATTTTCCTCAATTTTATTGAGTTATTTCGACTATTATTTTTTTACAGTGCATTCTCTCTCTTTCTCACTTTCTTGCTCTCTGTCTCTCTCCAATCCCTCTCACTCAACTTTTCAACCCTTTTTTCTCTTACCAGGCCCCCCCCCTAAATTTTACCTCGCGTTAGCTCGTGTTCGTGCTTTGTTCCGCGGGCGTTTAGATCTACTTGTACAGTGAACACAGGACGACACGAGGTAACCTCCGAATGTTACCTCGCGTTTTTCATAGATCTAAACGTGGTATTATTTAACATTTGAATTACCCGATTTAAAAATCTATTGCACGGATAGTGAATTTGAATGAACGGATTTTTAATTTTGAAAGCTGATTCAACACTACGAGTGCAACTTGCACGAATTTGAATGCTCGGTATATGAAGTTGAATTGAAAAAAAGTGTGAAATCGGCCGCAAAACCTTTATTTTCGTTATTATCATTTTTATTTTTATTATCATTATCATTATTTGCTGTTTGGCAATTCTCTTGTAGATGAGTAATACAAAGAAACTATAAAGAATCATAGCACAAATTAAACAATAGTCGTCGGTTATACGTGAATATTGACAATATTTAAAACGGAAGATAGCATAAAAAGTATTTTACAGCAATAACCTATCGGCGAACATTTGATTAGAAAATAGCTTGCATGCATGGCAGCATTCGCACTTCTCAATTTGGGTAACTTTGCATCAGATTCTTTTAAAAAAATCCTTGATTTAGCCCATGTTGCAATCTTAAGTATAAACCTTTAGGTCATACACGAATCCCATGATTTTTACAAGCCGATCGCCTGTCTGATTATCAAGATATCTTTGATTGGAAATAGAAATTGAAAGAATCGTTTTCCTAACGGTTTTTATGACACTACAGTCTATTGGAAAAATGAGTACGGTAAAACCGGTCACTCAAAGAATGTTTTACTCTTTTGGGGCACTTTATGATCATTTTGAAGCGCAATTTTTTTAGGGCTTCAATATAACACCATATCACAAACTGATAACACGTAGGGCCATGCACCTCAGATTTAACATTGTTAAACGATGCCTTCAAATAATACACCCCCTCCATTTTTTTTCTGTCATCCAAGTAATTATTAATTCGTCATGTTTGTTTTAATCTTATTATGTTAATATGATCATTTTTGTGATTTCTTTTGTATATAATTGTCGTTTACTTGTTGAGTTCAATTTTTGTTCACGACCTTGCTAAAAAGCAGCTTCTAGCTGATAGCAGGCTTTTTATCCGTGGTTACATAAATAAAATGCAAAAATACACACAAAGTCGTTCCTCAAAGCGTAGCTGTATTCAGAACAATGAAAATTTATCCTTATCTTTATTAATTGAAAAATAAAGCACGCATCGCCAAACATTTTCATCAATTCTGTTAGCTTACTGATGCAATACATGCTTAACGTGCTACACGGGCTGGAATTCTCTAAGTGAAGTTGAGATGACGATCTGCCCAACCCCGACCTTTAATAGTGATAAGCTTAAAAAGCCGCTGGCAGGTAATTAATCACGATATTGTCAAGGTATACTCAACAAATTACTTTGAAAATTAAAATGCAGTTTCTTTTGTCATGTGCACACAAAAGATAACGATTTTCTATTATGTCTTTTTAAATTCGATTACTTCGATTATCCTGATGCATGTTTTGATAAATTGTCTGCTACATGGTTATCTTCTCGTTGATATTTACTTTTAATTTAAAGAGAAGGTCGAGTTTTGGGAAGAGATAAACGATAGTTTGTGCGCATTATCATTGTTATTATGCAAGTGTGGAAGAACACCAGAAATAAAATGTTCCCTGAAAAGCATGGCTCTTCAATCGCCTTTAATATTCTAAATATGGCATGTAACAGTATACAAATCGGGACGGATTTTCATGCCACATGTTCGTCTAGTCCCATACACATCTTTCTGTGTACAGCGCTTGTAACTTTACCAAGATTGTGCCAAATTTTCTTATCATTTTGATGATTCCAGAACCTTGCAGTACACACCAATACTTATATGCTAGATAATCAACCTTTTCTGATCGATCCCACACGGTTTCTTACACAATGCAATCGCATGACCAGAACTGTTCTTTCCCTTTAAGTTGTCAAGTATAACATGAAGTAAATCATGAAGGATGTAACGCTAACGGTAATCAATCGTCAACCCTTCATATCTATATGACACACTGTATTACTAAATTGAGATCATTTATTTTCACGGAAACATTGATCAATTTGGTAGTGTCCTCGGCGTCATTCTTACCCGGCTTGGCACAATAGAAATGTGTAAGGCCTTCAACAGCATCGGTATCTGGTAGATGGTTCGACAACCAAGTTAGATCCGGTGGTACAAGTTTGGGAAGGTACTGTACTACCTCACCGTCATCTAATGTGACCGTTGGGCACGAATTAATAGTCGTGTGCGGACAATGGTTGTCGTTAATTTCCAACGATGCGACAATTGCTGGGAAAATGAAGGGGAAGAGTGAGAAATGTTGTATTTCATCAGCTCGACGTTACCAAAATAAAAACCTTAACTGATACAAAAGGTTAGATAACTAGTACACCGCGTATAGGTTAGATATTGCTTCGTCTTGGATCGTCAGTTTTTAGTATGTATCAATTTACTTTTTCATCCATCCGCTATGGGAACAATTGAATCAAAGTAAATATATAGCGCATCTTCTTTATGAATATGCTCTTCTGCGCTGTGATGAAGACAAAACTCCCAACAATGTTACTTTACCGACACACATTTATAATAAAAAATGCTAT